ACACACACACACACACACACACACACACACACACACACACACACATACACACATACACACTTGTGTGGGCCAAACACACTCAGTTTACGTCCCGAAGGCCTTACTCAGGCTGAAATTCTTGGCAGACAAGGATTAAAAACTGACTTTTGGAAAATCACACAACTGCACACAAACATATGCAAAAGCCTGAACTCACTGGCGATAAATGGTGACATATAGGATTTGGACCGAGCTGTAATGCTATCATTAAGTTCATGCTATGCAACACAAAGTCGTGTCGGAATAGGAGACATGTGGTCACAAAAAAAAAACAGTCTTTGATGCAAAWGATTAAAACATGTTTTTCTTTACAGATAGGATGATTGGAGCCTTTGTTTTTATGGGGTATAAGTGAAGATGTACTTTTGGCTAAAGAGTAAATCTGTCTTTTTTTTAGCTTCAGGTTGTGTTTGTGTTGTGGCATTAATAGACATTTGTTTTACAGCTTTATGGACGTAATTAACCAGATTTATCCAATTTCTCATCACAGCACTAAGAATTATTTATCTAAACTTTTAGGGATCTGGCAAAGTTATCTTAATGTGGAACAACTGATACAGTCAAGTCAATAGTTTCTTTTTTTGGCATATTTTTAAATGAGCTTACTGAATGCTGTGCAGAAAAAAATCAGTAATTAAAACTGCAATAATTATGAAATGAAATCGAACATGAAACGAACAAAAGAATGTTGATAATTTCAAAATATACATCAAATTAATGCATACACAAGAAGTCTAAATATTTTGTTCAAACAAAACAGAAAGCCAGGATCTAAGGATCAGGATCTGGATCTAAAACTGTCCAGAAACAACTGATCATTCAACCTTAGTGCTCTGGATGGAAATTTAAAAGAACTATCAAATATCACACTTTTGCACGCAGGTGACAATAATGATTATAATAACTGTTTTGTAACTGTTTAGGAGGTCAGATTGTCCAAACTAATGTGCTGTTTTTCCTTCTTTTTAGATTAAATGAGTTTATGTCCATCCATGTTTGTAATTCTCACAGGTAATTTATCAAGCCTTGAGTAGCATCATGGCTTTAGCTGGATTGAGCCGAGGGTAGTACACAAAAAACAGTTGCCGAGGCCTTAAAGAAAGCCTACATAATGAGAAAATAATTGGACCTAAAAGAGAATCTTGAGGTACCCCACATTTAGGAGAGAGGACCTTTGAAGAACGCTTCTGTAAATGGACTTAGAAGCTCCTCTCCAACAGGTGCAGCTGGAATCATTTAAAGGCTGTACCTTTCTTTTAATGTCAACACGAGTCCAGACACGAAAGTAGAATATAATAATTTACTATGCTGTAGGCTGCAGTCAGATCCAACAGCACAAAGGCAGCAGAATTACCAGAATCAACAGATGAAGGCAAGTCTTTAAAGAGCTGTTACTGTGCTTTGCCCTGCTTTAAAGTGAATTTGCAGTAATACTATGAACGGAAACTAAGAGGAGAAAGGGGAACTCTGATAGATGTCACAAATTAATAGCAGCAGAAGCAAGATGAGCAGAAAAAAACGAGAAATAAACAGAAAGGCAGAAACTTGGCAAAAAACTTTATTTCTTTCCTACAAAAGCTGTTACAGATGGAGAGAAAAAGTGAGAGAAAGGACAGATGCGAGCATGAAGAGTGGGTGTGTCTTGGTCTGTGTGTCTCCTCCCTCTGTCACAGAGTTATAGATGGTGCAGGGGCCGCCTGCAGCATCCACCAAGCTGTTTCCACCCTGAGGACCACCAACTCTCACAAGTCACTCAGGAAATATTTCTCCTGATTCCTGCAGCTGCAGCACTAACGCCTCTTGTTCAAAGACATCAACAGCATCTCCAGCTTTTTGACTTGCTTCTCTTCTGAGTTCAGTCAGATCACAGCTGTTCTTTCACACCTGAGTGATCAGTATGCAGCAGCATTCAAACAGCTTTCTGTTCCTTCTCCTCATGGCTTTCATCGCAGGGATTGTTTTGTCTCTTCCCCCAACGCCACAGAGGAGCAGAGGTGAGTGATACCTGCATGAGTTTCAGACCGCATTAAATGGCTCCATAAAGTGATGCATTACTTTCACACAACAGTCTATTGATGCAAGTGGAAACAATCTTTCTGTCTTAGTTCATCTGATAATTGATTCATTGTTTTGCAAGGCAGCACCCAGTACAACGTATGCTATAAATTAGACTTAATCATATAGGTTATTGTTTATTTACACTGAAACAATTATTAACTGCAATTCAAACTGGAATGCTGCTGTAACTGTTTGAACTATGTGGCTATTAACGTGTAATATTGTATATAGCAACAGCTGCGAGCTGTAGCACTTTCTGTGCACTTTCAATGGTAATATCATAATGTTTCAGCCAGAATAACCACATAATGTGAAACTGACACTGCATAACAATTTATTATTAATTGTATAAATTAAGTTGTTTTAGGATAGCACTGATGTGCTTTGGTCTTATCCTCACTGACTAGCCATTAACTTGTTATCCAGTCAGTATAAAACAATTTCTTTAAATTACGACTGTTTAAAGAGCTGTCAACAACAGGTAAGACATTAATTCTTTATAATTTTTCCATAGAACCCCACTACAAAAAATCTAAACTATCCCTTTTAGTGTTCATGTCGTGTTTGATCTGATATTTACATTTACACGTTTTTTCTGCTTACCTGAGCAGCTGTTGGCCAGGACTCTTGAAAAAAAAGGATTTAAAAACTCTGGAGTTTTTAAAGGAAAAAAATAGCTGAAARATGACTGAACTTGGAGTTCTCAAATCCTATTACTCCTGATGCAGAATTTTCTTTCCTAAATGCCTCACAGGAAACCATTAAACACACTCTAAAAAGCTGATTACAGCCTATTAAACTTCCTCTGTCTGATTAGGATTCATTCAGTGTTTTTGGAAAGCAAAAAGGTTTTCCATGAACCTGTTCCATAGTGTCTCAGTGTCCAGTTACTGTAGTTTGTTAGTTGACACACATGAAAATGTGATAATGCTTTCCATTTCTCAGTCTGGGCTTCACAACCAGTTTGTGAGTTGAAGACTTTGATGGTATTGAATCAGGTGGTACAAAGAAGTAAGCACAGTAGATTAAAGTATTGCCGGCTGGCTGAAAGATTATATATATATNATATATAATATTTTTTTCCTTGAACCAAGAAGTAAAAAGTAACACAAATTTCTGAACTTTGAGAAGTTGTCTTAGATGTCTTTTCTAAAGCTTCACTAATAGAACAATGCTTTTATTCAGATGCTCTTTCTGTATCTTTATTTTAACTTCTTTCTAGATCTCATCTAAAGCTAATATATAGCCTGTCTAGCTTTGTCAGCCCAAACCTGAACTTGTGTCATCCTCAAACTAACACTGGAGCAGACAAGATGAAAGTAGCGGACATGTAAGATAGATTTAAAGCACTTTAGAAAGTTTAACTAAGATCATGTCGATGGAACAATGGTGGTAACATAAATAGGACAGCGAAGATTGATTGAAGGAGGTGAAGGATGTGATGAAGCAGAGAAAAGAAGAAACAGCTGTTGCTCGCAGATAAATATGACACAAGGATGATATACAGTGAGACTGGAGAAACCTGCGTGAAAGCAGCCAAGCGTTTGGACTAAAATATGAAGAATTTGTTCAGACACAGGCCAACCTCCTTGACTGTTAATATTCCAGAGGAGGATGTGGACAAAAAGGTTCCTACTGAGTTACAGTAGATGTTCTCAGTGCTGAGTTACTGAGTTTGAGTTATTTCAATTACAATATAGGTTAGGTCAGCTCTGTTAAGGTTCGTGTTTTGAGCTCTGAATGAATACCGAACAACGACAAAGTTTTAACAAGTTTATTGTTAGAATTTTTAGTTGGAAGGCTGGAACCAGAATCCGGGGTCTTCAGTTCTGGACACAGAATCTCAAGGTTAGGTTTGGTTTGGAACACGGTATAGTTTGAGAGAAAAAAGATCACCAACTTTTCCTGTTGAGATGAGGACCGGGTAGAAACAACAGCAGGAGAGCTTTGGTTCTGGGYTGTGTTGTCGGAAGGAGTGAATGGATCGCTGGACTTACTCGTGGTCAGAAACAGGGCAAAGGTCATGCACGAGTGATCAGAGGACGTTACCAAGTTTGAGGGAGGTGACTGAGCCGATGATCCAGAGATGCGTTCCAAGGTCGAGATTCAAAAGGTCCGATGTGGCGTGGTGCCATTCAGGGAGCAGGCGAGAGACAAAAATCCAAGGGACAGAAAAAAGGTCGTTACCGTGAGAGCAGATGGCAGGAGGGATCTGACAGGGGCTGAGGCAGGAGACGTGGAACCAGGAGACATGAGCAAGGTCGGGGACACTAGGCAAGAGCAGGACAAGGGACAAGAATGTGGGAGAATCATAGACAGGGCTGATGATAATCTGGCAGTGAGCTGGAGAGAGAGAGACTGAGGTAAATACTGCTGGGAACAGGTGAGTGAAATGAGCTTGATTAGAGTTTCTGTGACGGGAGGGTCGAGAGCAATGAGTAGGTGCTGAATGTAAACTGAAATGCTGGGAACAAGACTATGACTGGAACAAGAAATGAAATAATAAAACTAAACTGAGGCTGGATCAGGACAGACAGTGACAGAATCATAACAAGCTGTCCTTAGATTAATATCTTAATTATTTTGAATGCTTGGCATGAAATGGTCCCAATTCATTGAGTTGAAACACCAAGTTGGAACGTTTCACATTTGTTTCTGTCAGGTGAGGACAGTCCCTCCACAGCCTCACTTCAAAAAAGAAACCTGGGAGAGCAGTGAAAAAAAGCTACTTACTAAAAATCCCTGAGACTTCACCATGGTGCAGCCTTGTAGCAAGAAGGTTGCAGTTCCCAGCTGCATCTTTATATGTGGTGCTGGCATGTTCTCTTTATGAATGTGAGGGTTTCCTMCCAGGTCAAAAACACACATTCTGGATTTTTACTCTAAAGTGTCCCTGGTGTGAAGGGTTTTCTGTCTCACTCCTCTCATGTGGTTCTGGGCTGGAAAGCTGCTTAGGGTGTAACCCCGCCTCTCACCTCAATGWCCAATGAAGATCAGCAAAAACACTCTGAGAACATGAACAAACAGGTAAAGAAAAATGAGGGTTGCCAGATAGGAAATGAGAAAATATATTACTGCTTTAAAATGATTGTATTCTGACCCAAACCATCATATGTGGTGAGTGAGGGTGTATGTTCCAGCCTTAGGGGAGGGGATAAGATGAGGTGTTGTGATTGGTGAATAAGCGGGGGGGGGGGGGGGGGGGGGGGGTACTCGTCTGGCAAGCACTGGCTGGTTGGATCAGACAATAATATATGTGGACGTTAACATAACTAATTTTTTAGGTGAAAGGAAATGTCTAAACTTTCCTATATTTGGTCATTTTGACCCGAAGACCATCTTTGTACTTTTTTTTGTACAGCTTACATGGAAATGTAAATAAAAGCAACATTTAAATTTTTCTATTGTTTTGGCCAATCTAGGCAAAGTCTTAAAATCTGAAGTTAAAAAAATAACATTTAGGGGATTTTTTGGGGGGTTTTAACACAGTGGCGGGTCATTTTGACCCGAAGACAACATAATGGTGTGTGTGCCAAATGGCAGGTCCATGGCCACGCTGTCATGGGACAGACTCACTGTTTGCTTGTTCTGGACATAAAAAAACATGAAGCCAGAGGTTTCCTGGGGCTTTAAATGCTCAGCATCCTTCTCCCTTGGAGCGGGGCCCTCCTGTATTTTATCGGAAATATCAATAAGAGAGCTGAAAAACTGTTGTTTTGATAGGAAACACAGCTGGAAAAGCACCAGGGAATTTTTCAAATCCAGGGTTTCCCTCTTTCCCACTGTCAGTGTCTGTTTTGGTGTCTTGCAGCATCTGGCAGCATTGCTAAAGCAAAGTTCCACTATCTTGTTTTTTTATTTATTTATTTTATTTATTTTATTTATTTTTTGCCTAAATGTGAGCCAAGGACGTGTGCTGGAAGGAATGGTGTGCAAAAGCTCATTGTTATAGGATTTAGTGGTCTCCAGGTTTTAGTCGTAATTTTCTTTTATTTTCTTTTTTTTCCCACTTCAGTAGAAAACAAAACTGAATGTTACTTTCTTAATTTCTGCATCATCAGTGGCTTTTTTAAATAATACTATAGTATGAAAGAAAAAGAAAAAATAGAAGAGAAATATAAGAACAGTAAAGAGAGAAATCGATAGAAATTATACATGTGAAATGAACACCAATAACACACAGGACACCACACCAGACATTTGACCATCACACATAATCAGGCACATACATATATACACACACAT